AAACAATCTAAAGCATTTCATTAGCTAAATAAATAAATTTGGAGTTAGGAAGTCTTTTGTATACAGGTATCACAGTGAAATCAGAGAGACCCTAAGTTACTTTTTCTGGGACTAGAAAGCAAAGACTCACTGTTCAGCATAACTAATTGTTCCTTCTCATGTCTAAGAAAACCAGAATAAAAACAGGCAAAATAAATTTAGATTTACTTAATTTTTTAATTCCAATACAGCATGTTTGCAAAGTACACATACCCTTAATCATAACGTTGAGGACCAAAGTTTAGTTTTTGTTTTAAAAAGTAGTGCAAATGAACTATAATGCTCTGCTTTTGTAAAGCCTCTTGCCACATGGTTTATATAGTACATTTTCCCAACGTACTCTTAAGATGTTTTCATCTTACACCTAAAACCGTAAGATATGAGTACTATGTTGTTGGGAGTTTTTTTAATTATGTATTTACTAGGAATAAGGCCTGCTGTGGAAATAAATACAATGAGTTCTAGAAAGAGGCTCTGAAGAGTGTCAAAGCCTTGGGCACTCAGCGTCAATTTGCTGTGGTGACCTCAATAGGGTATAATGACACAGAGTCCACCATTTACTCCAGAGGAACTGATCTCTGCTACGTGAAGAGCAGTTGTAATTTTGATGTGATCTCCAGCCCTCACCTGGAGATTGGCAGCAATTGTTACCCATGAAGAAATGGCTAGTTGGGAGGGTGGAGTCTATGGCATTGTACCTGTCTGAGGTCCCACCCCTCCTCAAACCTCACCCTCTCCAGGTTCGATCCCTCCAATGTCCAGGAATTTCCCACCTGGAGTTGGCAACCCTATCTCATTCCCAGCCAATCATCAACCTACCTTTATTTCCCCCTCACTCTCCAGCTTTCCATCTCTCCCCCACCTGCAGCCTCCACCATGCTCTGAAACCCTAACTGCCACATCACATTGGTTGTCATAGGGGGGGGGGCATCTCAGCAGGGTATAAGGACACAGAGTCCACCATTTTCTCCAGGGGAACTGATCTCTGCCATCTGGAGAGCAGTTGTAATCCTGAATGATCTCCAGCCCTCACCTGGAGATTATTATCAAAGAAACACTGTGATGAAAATGACAACAACATTTAATAAATCTTATGAACATCAATTTGTATATCAATTAAAACTTTACAATATTGTTAAGGTAATTCTAATATTTTCAAGGAAAAGTCCAACATCCTCAATGAGTACCCGGTTATACACTCATTTCACCAATCTTCCTCAGGAGTAATCCTATTGTGTTTGAAGGTGTCCAGGATAATTTGAGGAAATTAAAAAATAAGTTAAGATGCAATAATTTGAAGAAAGTAAAAACGAAGTTTAGCTGGAACTATTTGAAGGAACCAAAAAAGAAGTTAAGCTGTATCAAGAGACTTACACCTTCCAACACAATAGGATTACTCCTGAGGAAGATTGATGAAATGAGTGTATAACCGGGTACTCATTGAGGATGTTGGGACTTTTCCTTGAAAATGTTATAATTTCCTTAACAATATTGTAAAGTTTTAACTGATATACAAATTGGTGTTTATAAGATTTATTAAATGTTATTGTTATTTTCATCACAGTATTTCTTTGTTTGATAATATTCTCTGTAACTGTGATCCCTTCTTTGGTTTACTCACCTGGAGATTGGCAACAATGGTTTCCCAGGAGGAAAAATAGTCTCTCTCTGCAATGGGGACCAAAGCAGCTTATATCATTCTCCTCTCCCCCTTTTGACTTGCACAACAATCCTGTGAGGTAGGTTAGGCTGAAAGTCTGTGACTGATCTAAAATCACCCACAGAGCTTCTACAGCAAGAACCTGGATCTATCAGACCCTGCTCTGAAGCACCTAGGGTAGCCAACCTCCAGGTGGAGCCTGAAGATCACCAGGTATCACAACTGAATTCCAGACAACAGGTCTCTCCCCCCACCCCCAAGAGAAAATAACTGCTTTGGAAGGTGGGCTTTGTGGCATTCTGTTCAGCTGAGGCCTCTCCCCTCCCCAACCCCTGGCTTCCATAGACTCTACCAGGAAATCTTCAGGAACCTACCTGAAGAGACTGACCCCTAGTCAGGACTAACCCCAATGAGTTCCTCACAAAGGCCTGCAAAGGGTTTCCTTCCTTTGTCTGAACCAAGCTTGGTTGCCTACTGTGGGAAAACGAGCTCCAGTTTACAACTCACTTGTTCGCCTCCTACCCTCGTCCCGTGGGCGTATCTCACTCAAGTTCGCTGCCACCACTCACTGAATTGTCACTGCCTTTTTAGAGGGACAGTGAGACCGCTCTGGCCAAATCTCCCTATTTGGAGATGGGATCCCCAATCTTTGGGGGACCCCTGGAAAGTTGGCAACATAAGGGTCTGGCCTTTCCTTGTTTCCTTGGGCTACCCCCTCCCTTTGGTATTGTGCAGAGTGGGGAAGACTATGTGGTCAAATCACAACACAGATTATTAGTCCAAATAAAATAATTTATTTAACTATTTACATAATTATGGAGCGCACACACACTAAATGAATAAGGCACAACTGTAGCACACACTATGAACCAACAGGGCATAAATCAACAGAGGTTAAATGCAATCTTCTTTCCCACACAATACTCTCTACCTCTACAGGTTGTGGGCTCAGGATAGGATCTCTCCTTGGACCAGCCTCTGGCTCTGCTTCAGCCTCTCTCTCTTGCCCAAGAGACCCGGGAAACTTCCTTTCATTCCCCAGTCCAGCCGACTGTGGAGTGGCTAAATTTCTGCTGCCTCTCAGGGTTCCCCCACATCTCTTGTGGCCTGGACAGGCTGGTCAGCACAGGAAGCAGGAGCCTTCTGTAGGACGTAGACTGCCTCCTCCCTGGATGGGATCTATATTGATGCCGCCTCAACCCTTGGGACAGTCCGTGTTTTCCTGCACTTTTTGGCCTTGGGGCAGCTGGGAACTGTAAGCCAGCAGATGAAGAAGCCCCATTCAACCTAGTGAGTGATACCCCTGCAGGCCCCTCTCTGGAACTACAGCTCAATTAAACATTATGGGGGAACATTTTCAACAAACAACCACAGACGGCAACCATCTTACAAACACAGGTAACTGTCAGTCTGTGAGTGGTCCGAAATCACAGCTTCCACCTGGGTCTGGCAGACCCTGCTCTGAAGCGCCAACTGCTACGTCTATGTGGGAAGCAGCCATTTTGGGAAATCCTCCCATGAAGATCCAACATGAGATGGATTGACTCAGCCGAGGAAGACACAGCAAGACCTTAGCAAGGCTGTTAATGATAGGACATTTGGTTGCCATAAGCCGGAAGCAATTTTATTGTAACACATGTTACAGCATGTGTATAGATCAGGAAGATCTAAGTGCCTAAGTCTTAGCTGTCATGACTAAGTGGCTAACACTGTTACAGCCAGGTGTTAAACGAGCAGGTGCTACCCCTTGTAGTCATTAAGAGTAGGTAATTAGTTTGCCCTGATGTTCATTGGCTGTGTGTTGTATATAATGTCTAAGCTTGATAAGCCAAACGGGGAGACATAGCTCTCTCCAACTGAGGTATGTTATGCTGTGTAACAGTCTGTATGTTCTCTGTATATAGTTACCATTATTGCACTATAAACTTCCTGCTTTTCACCACCAGTCTGTCTCCAGGCTTCTTATTTACTGCACCCAATAGCCTCTATGGCCTCCCTTCCCCAAACTCTGGCTTCCTTAGACACAGAATATCCAGGAATTTCCCAACCTGGACCTGGCAACCCTAGTCAGGACTGGCCCCAATGAGTTCCTCACAACAGCCACTGAGGGAAAAGTTAGTCTCACACAGGAGGCAAGCAGGAGAACTGTCTTTGTCAAGAGAGAAAGCCGTTTGCCAGTAATTCTGATAGAGCACAGTGGCTGAAGGGGGAGTGGGCGGGGAAGAGGAGCAGGCCCAGCACCCGGCCAATGTCACATGAGTACTCAAGTGGTGGCTGATGGGCCAATGGCTGAGGGAGCGCATTGCACAGCCAATGGGGGAGCTGGAAAGTGCCACTCTGCTTCACAGTTATATATAAGGAGAGATATCACACCTTTCTCCCCAGTGGGGACCCGTGGAGGCTTACATTGCTCTCCTCGCCTCCTTTTTATC